AATGCTTTTATTTTCAAAGCTGGCAGAGATACGCCCATAGTTACTATTGAATTTGAATAGAAAAACATACGAGGCAATTTACTGTGACCTTAAAATTGACCTTTGACCTACTTTTAACCATGAACTGAACTTTGCAAATTTTGTTCCCTTTTATCTCCAAAACTAGCCGAGGTAGGTCCATAGTTACTATTAAATTTGAATAGAAAGTCATACGAGGCACTTTACTGTGACCTTAGAAATTGACCTTTGACCCACTTTTCATCATGAATTTAACTTTGCAAATTTTGTTCCCTTTTATCTCCAAAACTAGCAGAGATAGATCCATAGTTACTATTGAACTTGAATAGGAAGTCATTAAAGTCAATTTACTGTGACCTTAAAATTGACCTTTGACTTACTTTTAACCATGAACTGAACTTTGCAAATTTTGGTTCCCTTTTATCTCCAAAACTGGCAAAAATACGCCCATAGTAACTATTGAACTTGAATAGAAGTCATTAGAGGCAATCTAAGTGTGACCTTGAAATTGACCTTTGACCTACTTTTCATCATGAATTGAAGTTTACAAATTTTGGTTCNTAGGAAGTCATATACTGGCAATTTACTGTGACTTTGAAATTGACCTACCTTACGATGAACTTAAATTTGATTGTACCATTTTTAGTTATATATATTTTTTGCATATTTTGAAAATTTTTGTTGATTGCATTTTTACAGCTTGTCAAGCACAAGACTGGTGGCTGTGTCCCTTATTTTGTGTATGTGGGGGTCTATACAAATGCGCTTGCTCCAGCTGGTGGTACAATACTCGGAGGCGGTATCGCCTCTCTGATCCTCTAGTGCAGTAATGTTTTAGATAGTTCATCTCTTCTACAAGCAAGAGTAATAAGTTTACACGTTTCAAGTGCCCCATCATAGGGCAGCTCTGGGAATATAATCTTACATGCTCTCATCTGGATGGATTCAATTTTATCAACTTGTTGTTGTGTGAGATCTGGGTGCCACACCTGACATGCATATTCTAATGTAGGTCTGATTACTGATGTGTAAAAACTTCATTGGTTGGAATACCCGCTCTTTTCAAAAGCTTAAGATTGTGTAGCCTTTTACTTGCTTTTTTTTACAAATATCACGACTGATCCTAACCCCTAAGAAGACAGCAGACCCCACTCTCTCAATCCTTTGATTATCTACTAGTAAGGGTGTAGTTTTATGAGAGAAATCAAATATGATCTCTTTGGTCTTGGTAGTATTTATTGTTAGTTTATTGCATGGGACCAGAGAGTGAGTTTTGTTGTTGCATCAGGGAGATTGTCCTGCAGTTCTGTCTTCCCGTAGCTTAGAATTGTGGTGTCATCTACATATTTGAACATGTCACATTTGGTGCTGAGATCGTTAATCATAATGACAAATAAAACTGGACCCAGTTTTGTGCCATGTGGTACGCCAGCATTAATGCATTGCCAGTCTGATTTCACACTACCTATCTTGTCACTTTGTTTCCTCTCAGCTAGGAAGCTGTAAATCCAGTTTGAAATAATTCCTGGGATACCTAATTCAGACAGTTTTTGATTAAGCAGGGTGTGGTCTATTCTAGCGAATGCTTTGGTATAATCAACCAAAAGCATTCTGGCATATTATCCTAGAGTGTCAGTCTGCCTTGCAATAAGGTCAATAGCTTCGATCAGTGCGTGTGTCGTACAGCTCCCTTTCATGCTGCCGAACTGCCTAAGGTCAATCTTATTGGTCACAGTGTCCCAAATCCATTTAACAATAAAACCCTCCAATAACTTAGAGAGCACCAGGACGTATCCTTCACGAACTGATGAGTTGAATATAGCACATACTGGGGCAGCTAGGTACCCTGCTAGGTCATGTAGAATCCAGTTGGCAATTTCGTTGGGACCTGTGGACTTGTGTACGTTTACTTGGAGCAAGGCTTTTTTGGCATCTTGTTTTGTGATGATATATATGTGGCTGGTACAGGGTCTGTTGCTTCCACATGTTTTGGTTCAAGTGGCACAAAGTCATTTGTGACAGATTGTAAGAAAGCACTTATTTTTTGGGTAAATAAGCTGAAATCACTTGCACTCACTGTTAGCCAAGCCCAGTAAGGAATTATTTTGTGTTGTTTGCCCTGTAAGCAACCTTTAGCCATGGTGAGCTATCCTAGAAAAATTATGTTGAAAATAAGATTTTATGTTAATTAAAAAGTGCAATTGTTTTCAATATTTCATTAAACATTGAAAGATGTGGCTTTTAAAAAAGAAATTTATTATTTTACGACAAGTTTAATTTTGATGTAAAAATTGTTGTGAGCAAGTTATAAAAGCTATAGAACAAGCAGGTTGGGGAGTTTATCACTGTGATAAAATGTTTCAGTGTTCACTTGACTTTTCAGAGCAAAACGGGTTCAATAAGCCAAAATGTGTCCAAATTTAAAATAGATCAAGCAACAGGTGAAGTTACTCTAATTGCAAGCCTAGATTATGAAAAAAAACCCACATATCAGCTGGAAGTAGTGGCAAAGGTAAGTCATATCTGGGAAATCCCTAACTTAACTCAACCAGTACCATTGTGCTAAATGTTGTTATTGTTTATAGGACCATTATGGCTGGAACTCAACCAGTACCATTGTGCTAAATGTTGTTATTGTTTATAGGACCAGTATGGCTGGAACTCAACCAGTACCATTGTGCTAAATGTTGTTATTGTTTATAGGACCAGTATGGCTGGAACTCAACCAGTACCATTGTGCTAAATGTTGTTATTGTTTATAGGACCAGTATGGCTGGAACTCAACCAGTACCATTGTGCTAAATGTTGTTATTGTTTATAGGACCAGTATGGCTGGAACTCAACCAGTACCATTGTGCTAAATGTTGTTATTGTTTATAGGACCAGTATGGCTGGAACTCAACCAGTACCATTGTGCTAAATGTTGTTATTGTTTATAGGACCAGTATGGCTGGAACTCAACCAGTACCATTGTGCTAAATGTTGTTATTGTTTATAGGACCAGTATGGCTGGAACTCAACCAGTACCATTGTGCTAAATGTTGTTATTGTTTATAGGACCAGTATGGCTGGAACTCAACCAGTACCATTGTGCTAAATGTTGTTATTGTTTATAGGACCAGTATGGCTGGAACTCAACCAGTACCATTGTGCTAAATGTTGTTATTGTTTATAGGACCAGTATGGCTGGAACTCAACCAGTACCATTGTGCTAAATGTTGTTATTGTTTATAGGACCAGTATGGCTGGAACTCAACCAGTACCATTGTGCTAAATGTTGTTATTGTTTATAGGACCAGTATGGCTGGAACTCAACCAGTACCATTGTGCTAAATGTTGTTATTGTTTATAGGACCAGTATGGCTGGAACTCAACCAGTACCATTGTGCTAAATGTTGTTATTGTTTATAGGACCAGTATGGCTGGAACTCAACCAGTACCATTGTGCTAAATGTTGTTATTGTTTATAGGACCAGTATGGCTGGAACTCAACCAGTACCATTGTGCTAAATGTTGTTATTGTTTATAGGACCAGTATGGCTGGAACTCAAATATTAGTACCATTGTGATAAATGTGGAAGACATAGGTGACCAGCCTCCCATTTTTGAGAAGCCTACATATGCTGCTACAATCCCTGAAGACACCCCAGTGGTGAGTACATATCATAGCAGAGCAATTTAAAATAAGAATGTTATGTTATATACAGCACAAGAACATAATGTGACATACAGCACAATGAATGTAATCTTCCATACAGGACAAAAGGAAGATCACAAAGTTAATGAAATGGTGTCTTTTGGTAAGATCCAGTGAGTCAAACATTTACATTATTTAGTAAACTTTGTACATTTTTTGTGACACAGAACTTGAACTTGTTGTTTTAGGGCACAGAAGTTTTGAGAGTATTTGCGCAGGATGGAGACAGAGGCTTGGCCATCAAAAATAAGATATGCTACAGTTTTGTGAATGGTATGTAGCAAGGAAAGAGAGAGTAAAATGGTTTTAATTCAGTTCCTCTAGCACAACCATTTGCCTTACCCCCTTGCCAAAAACTGGGGAAAATAAAAACCAAAGATCTACAAGAATATTAGTTATATGTATTTCTATAACAACATGTTATTTTTGTTTCCTCATTGTAGGGTCAGCCCTGACTTCTTCTTATGAAGACTTCAGGATAGGGAGGAGCAATGGCAGTATACTTATAGGCAGAAAGTTAGACAGGGACAAGCCAGATGTTATTCAAAAGGGGGGAGTGTTTCAGCTCACAGTGAAGGTACACACAGTGTCTTATTTTGTGTGTGATAAAAGTTAAAACTGAAGCAAATATAAATATTCATAGTAGCTTTTTAACAAGTTGTTGAGGTCTTGTTCATGTCATTTTCATTTCTCAAAGATTTGTTGGCACTATTAGTTCAAATTGATGGAGATAGTTGTTTTACTTATATTTGCACTTTGGTATTTGTTGTCCTTTTGGATATTGGTTTTCCTTTAATAATGAATATCTAGATTGTCTGCTGCACAAAATTTGTTCATTGTAGGCTCAAGAATATGATCCAACCAATGATTGCAGCAGCATCAATAGTACTATAGATGGCACCGAGGCAACCCTTTACATCACAGTACAAGATGTCAATGATGAGACACCAACATTTGGACAAAGTGTTTACTATGCTACTGTGGAGGAACAGTTGAAGGGGATCCCGATTACATTAAATAACTCTGATATCACAGTGACAGACCTGGATTTGGTAAGAATTTCCTTGGATTTTATACCTATATGATCATTCCTGTGTTTTGTCACGTGTTTGATTGCCCTTACTTGTTACGGATAAATGAAGTTAAATACTTTATTATGTTATATATTCTGCCATTTTAATTTATATAAAACACAGTACTTGTATTCTGTTTTGTGAAAAGGTTTTGTAGACTATTATCCACTGAGTGTGCTCCTAGTAAAATTGTAAAGTTAAGCAATATTGAATGTTCTAGGGAGACAATGGTACCTTTGAACTTTATGTCACCAAAAATGGACAGAATTACTCTGCTTTCTCCGTCACCCCGCGCCGCTCAGTGAATGAAGCCATTGTCATTGTGCGAGTGGAGAATGCAACAGCCGTGGACTTTGAGAAGACGAGGAGCGTGACATTCCAGGTACAGTGTAGTGTAAAAAACTGGAAATTTGCTCCCTAGAAAATTACTAAGTCAAGTTACGGTAGTGGCATAGTATTATGAATTAGTTCTAATTATTAATTGTAATAAAAAATACATCACTTAACATTATAAACAGTTCATTTGAGGTGCAATATGTTAAAATAAAGATATAAATCTAATCTAAGAGTTAAACAGTGAGATTTTATTTGTAATTTTAGATTGTTGCCAAGGAAACTCAAACAGCTGAACGTAGGACGAGTAATGCCACCATAGTGTTAACAGTGTTGGATAGAAATGACAACCCCCCAGTGTTTGCCGACCCTGAGCACATAGCATTTATCCTGGAGAATTCTCCAAATGGCACCCATGTGATAACAATTACTGTGAGTAGGCATATGGAGGCTTGGGTAAAAAGATATAGATGAGTTCATAGGATATAAATTTAAATTGCATTTGGACTAAATATGGTGACACCTTCTCTCTGAACTCGTTCAAATGAAATATATGGGGGAATTTGGCTACTGCCTCATATTTTCATTGCCAAAAATTCTCTAAAATAAAGTAAGAAAGTTTTTGGCATACATGATCCACATATTTGGATAAAACTATATTTTTGTCTCAAAACATTTTGATTTAAAATCACCTTTTCCTCTTCATTCCAGGCCACTGATGAAGACACCGCCAGTAATTTTTCAGACATCACTTATAGTTTACAGGGTGGAAGCAACAGGTAATAAACAACAGTTCTGCTATAGAGCGCAGTATGGTAAAGATGATTTTTTATCCAAAATGTGTATTTTATGACAAGCAGTGTGTGTGGTTTCAATCTTAATATTGTTTGACTTTAAGAACAAAATGCAAAATGAGTTTAAGGAATTGGGAATATTTTCTGCTTATGAAAGTTAATTGTATGTAAGTATTGAATTAAAAGACCTGGGCCCATTTTAATAAAGAACGTTTAGCATTAACCAGTGGATAAGCATAACTAGTGGATAAATTCTCCTAACACCCATTAACTAAAAGATGGTTAAATTGTTTTTCATAAACAGTGTTCAAACAGCCAATTAGTTAACTGGCCAGTGTTTAACTGGATAAAATAATTATTTAATTAACTAACAGACTGTTTAAACACTTTATAAAACAAGTTCATCGCTCGTTTAGTTAACAGGGTTTAGGAGAATTTATTGGTTAGTGCTAAACATCCTTTATAAAACTGGGCCCTGTAATTTATCAAAGTTTTTTTATTTGCTCAATTTCTAAATCAATAAATTCTTTTTTTTTTTTTGACATTGAAAAAGACGAAATTTTGAAATGGGAAACTTGATATTTTTTCCTGGCTGAATAAGGTTTTTTTTTTTTACTATATTTAGTTTTGCAATCAACTCCACCTCTGGCATGGTCTATGTGTCTTGTGGGTCTCCAAAAGAGTGTCAAAAGCAACTTGACTTTGAGAAGACCAGCATATATTATATGACCGTTGAGGCCACTGATGGCCGCGGACTTAAAGGTACAACACAGCTCGAAGTTGTCCTGAACGACACCAATGATAACACGCCCAGCTTTACTCAGAACAAATACTCTGGTGTGGTCAAAGAAAACTCAACAACTTTTGAAAGGGAGATTCAAGTCCAGGTACGTATGGTAGGATTAGAACTCTTTAGATTGTGTTTATTTTATGGAAAATTTTCTTTAGAGAGAGAGAGAGAGAGAGATGGTGTTTTATTTGCTAAGTACTGGTCACCTACAGAGAAAATTCAAGGGAATTCTGAATCCATCCTTTTCCAGAAATGTTGAAATATGGAATTTTTTTACCAAGATCGAGTTTTAGTGTGATGCAGGGATTCCATTCCTCTCTTAATCCTGTACTTGTAATGTCATCACATGATTGTAGGATCCTTTTAAGTATATGGTAGTGTGCGTGCATGTGTGTGTGTGTGTGTGTGTGTGTGTGTGTGTGTGTGTGTGTGTGTGTGTGTGTGTGTGTGTGTGTGTGTGTGTGTGTGTGTGTGTGTGTGTGTGTGTGTGTGTGTATGCTTGCCTATGTTTGCATGCATGAATTTCGTGTGTATGTGTATGTATGTGCATACATCTAAGCAAGTGTATGTGAACAGTGTTGGTTAAAGTTTTGTTTCTATTTCCCAGGCCACAGATGAAGATTCTGGACTGAATGGGAAAGTGTACTACAACATCACAGGTGGCGACCCCCTGAGGAACTTTACTATTAACACGACCACAGGGATCATCAGCCTGGCCAGCCCCCTGAACTACGAGGCTATGCCCAGGAACTCTGACGGCTGGTTCCATTTAAATGTGACGGCCACTGACTGGGGCTCCCCACCTCTCAGTGATATGGTACAGGTGGACATAGAAGTGGTGGTAAGATGTTCTATTTGTCCTTTCATTCATCCTTTCTTCTTACCATCCATCCACACATCCATCTATCCACCCTTCCATTTTCTCCATCTATTACTTGTCCAGAGAGTCTTCTGTTTTAGTTGTATTTAAAAAGCTCAAGGGATTTAAAATTTGCTAATATCTCAATTTCCTCATGTACTTTTATTTGCTATATCTCAATTTCCTCATATACTTTTATATCAAAAGTAAACAAAATTAAAAGTAAATATTTGCTCATTTTAGGATGAAAATGATAACGACCCAGTGTTTGTGAATAAGAGTTACACAGCTGAAATATATGAGAATGCAACAACAGGTTTGTGCTGCCCTTTAATATCATTTGGTTAGATGATGTGCATCATCTTGAAAAATTGGGGATTATCTTATTTAGGCTTATTTTCTTTATTTATCATGGTAAAAATTCATTCTAATGAATGTCATATACAGGATAACTGTCAGTTTGTCCACATTAATTTAAATTTTGTAATGTCATTGTGATGTCATTGTAATGTCATTGTTATGTCATCGTGATGTCATGGTGATGGGAAATATAAAGTTACATGATACAAAACTAAAACTGAATCTTAATAACTGAACCACTATGATGTTTATTTTTCCTCTGATTTTCAAAAATTGTTTATGTAAATGAATTTTTGTATTTTTTGTATATAATATTAGAATTAGCTTGATGTGATAACAAATCTGTTGAATGTACAGCTTTCCTTCAGTTCATATCATATGTTATGCTAGTTTTTTTGGTTTATTTCCAGGTGACACTGTATTACAAGTCAATGCAACAGATCTTGATAAACCTGGTGATCCTAACAGTATCATCATCTACCGCATAGAGAGTGGGGGAATGGACAAGTTTAGGATAGAGCCCAACTCTGGGAAAATCAAAGTGGAGAAAGGGGCCAGGTTTGACCGGGAGACTCTGGATGTGTACAACCTCACAGTCCTTGCACTGGATAGGGGAACCCCGCAGCGAAGTGCGTCCTGCAGCGCCATAGTTCACATACTAGATGTCAATGATGAACCGCCACTTTTCCCCATGCCAGAAGCCCGGGCAGAAGTTTCAGAAAATGCATCCATTGGACATATTGTGTACACATACAATGCATCAGACCTAGACAAGAATTCCTATTTAAGATATTCTTTACTGGAATCGTCTGTAAGTACAGCAAAACAGGATTTATTGTTGGGGGGTAGGGGTGGGAGAACGAGAAAACTTCGTGGGCCAAATTTTTTTTTAAATAGTTTCATACATGCATTTCAGAAATCCTGTAGTTATTTTTCATGTACAGTAGATTATAATAAAAAAATATGTCACAAGAACATACAATACTTTACTGGTTCAAGTAGAGTGTAGTGATTTATTTATTTATTTATTTATTTATTTATTTATTTATTTACTGTAAATATTCCAATTAATCATTGAGTACCAAGTTGGATATACTATCCATATTGTCATGTATGAATTGCCCCACTGTTTGTCATGTGATAGGTCAGGTGTCATAGTACTTGAGTATTATGGGATGTATCAAGTGTTTTTGTTAGACGTGTTGAATTTATATCATAGAGGTTAGTATATATATATTCTAAACTACAGTATCTGTTTTTTCATGTTGTCTTTGTGTGATACCATGCTACTGCAGATGCCACAAATGCTGAAACTATTGTAAGACAATTTTGTTTTCAATATTCTAATTTTATCAGAACTATCAGAGCTGGTTTGGCATCCACAGCAACAATGGCTCTGTGTATGTGAAAAACACATTAAACCGGGAAAATCAGAGCGATGTCACCCTGACTGTCAGAGTAGAGGACCAGAATGCATTTCACCCCAGACCTCAGACAGCCACAGGTTAGTAAACTGATGGACCCTAGGGTGACTCAGGGGCCATTCAGAATAAATGTTCCCAGTACTAACTGATCAGCCGACTAAATATGGCCGACCACATTTCAAAAGCAATGCTGCTGCTTCCCGATGGTCTCCTTACCTCTACTCGTGCCACTAAATGGATTAAATCTTAGTGCCGAGGTTTAATTGCTAGGCCCCTGCAGTGATGGAGAGTGTGGAGGCAGGGAGACCATCATGGAATTAGCGGCATTGCTTTTGAACTGGGCTTGGCCATATTTAGTCGGAGGATCAGTTAATACTGGGATCATCTATTCTGAATGTTCCCTCAGACTTAGACCTAGGCTGTATTCCCAGAGCTTTTAGATCGATCTATCCCCGCGGGGAGTCTCACTAGATTACTGTCAGATAATCTGGCTTAAATGTCTGTCCCTCCTACTACAAGCTGTAAGGGGGTAATAAATTTTCGTGTGTCCACCTGGCTGACAGTTATTTAGCGTGAACCCCCACAGAGTTAGGTCGATCTAAAGTAGATCGATCTAATTTCTGGAAATGGGGTCCTAGACATACTGAAGAAGTAGACCATGACAGTTAAAACATTTATGATATCTTTCTTTTTTATAATTTCAGCCACTTTAGTGATAACACTTATGGACTATAATGACAATGCTCCAGAGTTTATTGAGTCCCCCCCAGCAAACTTTACCAAGAATATGACTCAGAATATGACAGTGCAGTATATGTACACTGTCCAGGTCAACGAGAGCGCCACCACAGGGCAACAGGGGAGCAGGGTTGTTACTCTGAAGGCCAAGGACGCAGATCAAGGACAGCGAGTTAACTTCACCATAGTCAACAACACAGACAAGTTTGAAGTCAATCCACTTACTGGTAATTGTTAGCAGCTGTTTTGTTTTTATGTACATTCACAGATGTGTCTGTACATATAGCCGTTGCCTATTTCTGTCGTCGTTGGTGCCGACATTTTTGCTGTGCACCTTCAGTGTTATACAGATAAGATGAAAACTGTTTTACTTTTTTGTATTTAAACTCACAGAACAGATGAATATTTATAAAACACAAGTCAAGTTCGAAAAATCAGCCTGATTGAACCATTTGCAAACCAGCTGGATCAGATTATTTTCTTTTTTATTGTCTGTACACTTGACAGCTTTTTCTTTTTTACCTGGTTATAACAATATGTTGAAGATAAGTATCTGGACAGGTATAAAGATGAAGATCCCTTTTGATTAGTTACGTCTAATTTTCAAAAAAAAAAATAGTTTGTGTTCAAGGTCTGAAAGCTTTTGTATGTGAATTTTTTCTTATAAGGAAAATTTGCAATACAAATTCAGTACAAAAGCTTATGGACGTACAAGTTGATAATTTGGTTTCAGTATATATTGTGTTATAGTATATATTGTGTTATAATTTATGTAGAGTGTGTGCACTGAAGCTGTACTGGTACATATAAAAATGCTAGATATGTTAACTTTCATAAAAGACAAGGTTAAGATTATTTGAATTATACAGTTATTCTGAGGACATTGATAAAAAGCAACTACATCAAATTTAAACAGTTGGGGATTTCTTTATTTGCCTTCTTCATCTTCCTGTGTAAATGCATCAACCAAAAACAACTTGGTTATTTTAGGTGATGTTACTCTGAAAATACCACTGGACAGAGAGCAGCGTCCAGAGGAACAATTTCAAGCCATTGCTGTTGATATCCCGTCAAGTAACACAGGACCCCCTCTGACCAGTACTGCTACTGTGGTTGTTATTGTTATGGATACTAATGACAATGACCCTGTATGGGTTAGTGATATGCCATCGTCTGCCAGCGTCCCAGAGAATGCCACTGTCAACACCCCAGTGCTGACTGTCAATGCCACTGATCTCGATGACGGTGACTATGGGAACGTGACTTATATCATCGAGAGTGGCGATAATGGCAAGTTTAGGATTGATCGTAACACTGTGAGTATTGATATAAATTGTTGGTGTTTTTTTTAATGTTTACTATAAATTATTGAAAAATTACTGTTTTGTTGTTTATTGAATTTGAGTAATTTAATGAGTAATATGTAATAAATTTTGATAAAAGAAGTCTGTTGCTAGATGTACCTTACTGTTGCTGACACTGTTGTACTATTTTATCTAGGGTGTTATAACAGTAGCAGGCCAGCTGGACAGAGAAAACAAGAGCACATTTTCTCTCAATATTGAAGCCAGGGACAATCTGGGTCATGCACCAAGCAGAAAAATTCAAACCCAGATCACAGTGCACATAACAGACATCAATGATGAGAACCCAAAATTCAGTCAAAAATCATATTCTTTCCTAGTAGAAGAGGACAAAGGTGAGAGCTATGTTATAGCAACCATCACAGCCAATGACAGGGATCAGGCTGGGACAGACAATTCCAGATTGACCTATACTGTTGTCCCAGACTCGGGCAATGGAACTGAACTGTTTGCCATCAATAACACAACTGGTGCTGTCCATCCTAAAGCAGTTCTGAATGGTAAACAAGGCTTCTTCTACATGACAATACTGGCCACAGATCATGGCTCTATACCTCTGAATAACAGCACTGAGGTGGAGATAGAAGTTACTGATATCAATGACCATAAACCAAAATTTCCATGGAAATCCATAACCATCAGTGTTAATGAGGTAACTAGATTGTGTGTAAACATTTGATACCTTCTAGGCATTATCTAAACTTGCAATGTTTTTTTTATCAAAGTATTACTAAAAAAGAAATGAATTTAAAATTCTAGAGTAAACAGTGGTCACTTTTGTTATAATAAGCATGACAGCAAAGATTTTTTGTATTATGTTTAAACTAGAATTGCACATTTCAAGGCAACTTTTAAACAAACTGCACTGTTATAAAACTGAAAACAAATGTGCTTGCCTGTTAAATTTGTTCAATTTTTTATCCTAAGAGTTTTTCAGCACTTCTGGATGATATCAGAATGTATCATATGATGATTATTATTCTAGAGTTTCCCTGTCGATGGAAATATCACCACAGTTAAGGCTACTGACCTTGACCTTGGAGAAAATGGCCGTGTCAGCTACCGTCTGCTTAATAACTCTGTAAGCTATCAGGAAAGCTATGAAACCTTTAAAATTGACCCAGAAACTGGGGTATTACGAACAAAAAAGGAGCTGGACAGAGAGACAGTGAATCAGTATACAGTGAGTATCCTTGGTATTATTGGTTTGTAAGTACAACTTATGTGTTCTCATGTCATGAACGATCTATTAATTTAAAGACCTATTTACATCCAGTTTTATTTCTTAGTAATACAGCTGTATCAAAGAGAGTCAAACATGAAAAGCTAGGAACTAATGCCTAAGCAGGGGGAAGCAAACTTTAAAAACTTGTGAAAAGCAGTAAATTTCCCTCTAGTGTATAACTCCATGTTGAAATCTGTATTAAGGTTGAACACTTATTGTTAAAAGTAGCGGAGCCTCTGTTTCGTGTACAGTTATTTTTTACATACTTGTTCTAAAAATGTGCTTTTCGTCATTGAATTAGGTAGTTCATTTACAATCACCTTTTTTTGTTTCCTTCATAAATGTCATGTAGAATCCTGTTAGAATAGTGGTATAAATGTTTTACTATATTTTAAATAACTTTTAGGTCCGAGTAGAGGCATATGATCATGCTCCATTAGGGAAGGCATTGTCCTCTCAGGTGGATGTGATTATACTCATCCTTGACATTAATGATCATGAGCCTACCTTTGACCGTGAAAAGTATCCCATGCCTTCCATTACTAAATATGTGGAAGAAAATAAAAAGGGTGCCAGGGTTTTCAGTAATCTGAAGGCAGACGATGAAGATGTAGCTGCAGTAATCTGTTATTGGATTGTAGGTAAGTAGATCACTCCTGGAAAAGGGGTGAGAATTGTTTTATGGTGATATCTGTTAGCACACTTAAATTTGTAGCACATTTTCTGCAAATTTGCGGGAAGGAATATTAGCATACAAATGAGGCCTGGAGACTTGCTTGCAAACTTTCTTGCAAACTGTAATTCTGCAAACAGTTTCATACAAACTGTTTAGTTTGTTCTAAATATGCTGCAAACTTAGAATTTTGCCAAGGGATATTAATAATGCATGGCATTTGCTAAATATGTTTGCATACAGAGTCATAGCCAGCAAATTTAACCTAGGCATGGTTTCTTATATAAAGATGAACATCAATTGGCACACTGCTGAGAAATACTGGCCTAAAAATGTAGAAGAAATATGTAAGAAACAAAATGAGTAAAATAAAGCATTTGTTGCCTGTTAAAATTAGTCCTGACATCATGTGCTGATGAGATGATGATGTTGATGTTTTATGCTCAATGGTCACTTTGGAATTGGCCTTTTAAGCTGCCCAGGAGCATCTTGAATTTTGATTTGTGTCTCCCAAAATTCTGTCTCAAACTATCTCCTTTTTCAGTTCAATTTTTTAGCAAAATTGCAAATTATATTTTTAGAGGGAAACAAGACACTTTTTGAGGTAAATTATACCAATTCCAAGGCCAACATCAGCTTAAAAACAAATATGTCCCTTGACCGTGAAAAGACAGCAAGGTACACACTGGTTGTGGAAGCCAGTAACGACTGCGCTAATGAACCAACCACTAAGAACAAAGATGCTCAGGTTGTTATTGAGGTCCAGGTTCAAGATGTCAATGACAACCCACCCACGTTTAATAAGCACCTCTTCACCGCCGGCATCACTAAAGAAGTGGAGCCCCCTGCTACAATATTAGAGCTGAAGGTATGTATTGTTTCTTCTGGTTATTGATACCAAGATTGAAGCAATGCTGAGAACCTCAATGAGCAGATATGTATTTCACCCTTATCTCTTTTGCATAGAATTTTGGGTGGGTATGTGCATGTATGTATGCATGTGCAAGCCCGTAGCCAGAAATTTCAAAAGGGGGGTTCTTTTTTTGAAAAAGTGGACCTTTTNCAAACCTCTCGAACCCCCCCCCCCCCCTGGCTACGGGACTGATGTGCTTGTGTAAAAAAGTGTCAGAGGACAACACAAGTGGCTGGGTGAGGGGGGTCCTATACCTATATATATATATATATTACTACCCCTGTATATCAGGGTCATTTGATACTTCATCAGTAGTAATGTTCTCTCCTCATTTCCCAGAATGAAGTGGTGGACCGTGACATAGGCAACAACAGCCGTGTCCAGTTTTACATGGTGCCTGGCAGTATGAACATCAGTAGTGATCTGAAACAGAAGATAGGCAGCAAAAACCCTTTCCTGGTGGACCTCAGTGGCAATGTCAAGTCTGACATGTACTTTGAGAGTGACATGTTCGGCTATGTCGACTTCTTTGTATATGTCAATGATTCTGGAGGGTACAATGACAAGGCCAAAGTATCGGTATGAAACAGTCATTGGTATTATGAATGTAACATTCTTCAATTAATTCTCAGGGCCCAGTTTTATAAACTTAAGGACGTTTAGCACTAACCAGTGGATAAATTCCCCTAACACCCGTTAACTAAAAGATGGTTAAATTGTGTTTTATATACAGTGTTCTAATGGAAAACAGCCAATTAGTTAACTGGCCAGTGTTTGACTGGATTAAATAATTATTTTAAGGTCAGCTAACTAACAGACTGTTTAGGTCTGGTTAGAGTTAAACACTGGTTAGTGCTAAACACCCTTTATAAAACTGGGCCCAGCTCTTCACAGTTATAATAATTCATTATATTCATTGTTATGGTACTGTTGAAGGAATATATGCTCCATTTATTTATTTGCTTATTTACTTTTTATTCACTTTGTTTTAATTGTTTATTTACTTATTTATTCACTTGTTTGTTTGTTCCAAGACTTATGTTAAGTGGATGTTATCATGCATGATAGTTTTAATTTAATGACTGACAGATTCTTGCTGTGTAACCTAAAAGATAGATGATTATTTTTTGTACTTCTGGACATCAGTAATATTGTGAGTTTGAATTATGTATGTGTAAACAGTATGCTGTTTATTTTTCAGATTTATTTGATAGGTTCCAGTCAACAGATCAAGATTGTTTTACCTGGTACTCCAGATGAGGTCAGACTGAAGAAGAGAGAACTTGAAGAGTAAGCAAAGATTGGAAAAATGATAGTTTTGAACAATTGCGTAAAAGAAAGATTAAATCACGTACTGGAGACTAACCTACAGGTGACTTCTGTCAAATGACAGCAGTGACAGTTGACCCTGACCCTGGGAGATGCACAAAACAGCATAGCCTATACCACCTGTACGTTACCATTCAGTATGTGATTTAATTTCACTTACTTTAATTAATTACTGATAGTCCATACCATACTATGATAAGAATGAAAGCACTTTGTCATTGTCTTCTTGATACAGTATTGAATAGCATGCTTTGATTGGAATGTTTTTCATGGCCCTATGTTTCCAGATATCTCTCCAACATCACAGGAGCTATCATTAATGTGGACAAGTTTGTAGAACATGACCCTACAGGGAGTAGTAGTAGTAACCTCAAAATAGATAGGTAAGAACTTGGGTTTTTAATTACATCCACTTTCTTATTTAAATGTTAAGTTCATTTAATAAATAAAGTATTCTAGAATTGTGAGTTATTGTTTTTCCCTGGTATGTGTCCATGAAGATTGGTCTAGTGTTTTGGACATTGATATATATATATATGCAGATTATCACCTGCAGTCTGCTGCATCTGATATTTTAATTATAATCCCTATCACCATAAAAATCTTTGATTTTTTTGCCATAAAATGAATTTAAGTAGAGCACATTTATAATATAAGGACATATTCTAAAGTAGAGGTAGAAGTACAGTATATCACATAAATAATACACATAGCTAATAAACACTGCTAATAACTACTGTCACAAATACAGGAATTATCACATATTTACACACAATACAAATTATTTGTCATGAAACCTTTTCTTTGTAGAACTGATGTTTATGTCCATGCTATACAAAGAGACACAAAACAAGTCCTATCATCTGATGCTTTGGTGGGGTAAGTAACTGCTGCCACATTGACTTAAAAATAGTAAATGAAAAAATGTTTGAATGGTTGCACTGTGACTGTTACTTATATAGTGCTTTTTATGTTGATTTGAATGATATAAAAACGTGTCTACGTATATCTTTTATAATGGCCCTTCATATCAATTGCCATATAATGATATTATTATTATAAATATACATGGGGAAATATTAATGTTAAGACATTTTTGTTATAATAAAGAGGCTGTAGATTTAATTGATCCTGTATTTATCTCTCAGTAAACTTATATTGTTTTGTTTGTTTTTCAGTGTACTAGAAGCAAATTTGGACCAGTTGACTGCATTTTATAAAAGATTTGGCGTTCATGAAGTCACTGTAAGTGCATCTTCACAAATTAAAAACCAATTTCTTAAAGAAACATTTACATAATAACCAATTTTAGTGAGTTTTATGATTGAACAGCATAATTTGATACAGATGTGCCATACTAAAAAGAATTCAACTCCATCATTTGTATTAAAACATACATTAGACTAGAGATTCATGCAGGACTGCATGTCACAGAGAAAGATGGTGTGGAATTTTGTTAGTTCTTGTCCATATTGCAATAGATTCTCAGCAAATACCTTAAGATACAGTGTTTTAAAATGCATGAATCATGTGAGATTGGAATTGCACAATGAAAAGTAGCTTAAATGTGACCAAATCATCTTTTCAAATAGTTGTTCATGCCAATGACTCAACCCAAAGCCTAATTCTTGCTGTTTTTGGAGATAATAATTAAAAAATCCTAGCTAATTAATATCCCTTAGACTCATACTTAGATCGATCTAACAGGATCGATCCTGCTCTAAGAGTTTTTTTATTAAATTGCTTTCGGCTTTAGTGGCTTTGATGGCTGGCATGCCTTCTGAAACTGCTAAACCATAATTGCTCCTAGCAGCTTCAGTAGGTGTGACAGACATCTTAGCTGCTTAAGTTAATTGCAATTTAGCGAGGCTCGTCTCGGAGATAGAGCGATCCACAGTTAATTTAGGGTCTGGGTATGGTCCCTTAGGCCAGTTAGTCTCTTTTGTTTAAATAAAATTACCTCAATTCAAATCAATTTGATGTATCACCCAGTGAGTGCTGGGAGACTCATGCTTTTACATGGAACTACTTCTTCAGTAGCTGTGAGGATTAAATATATTGTTTTGATAGACCATACCTAGGACAGTTATATTAGAGCTTGAAAACTTGAATACATGTCTTATAAATGATAGTATTCCAGTCTAAACCAACAGAAATATTCACCAATATAATATATCTTTGATCCAGAAAATCACCCCTGAGGAACCACCTGTGGAGGGTCTGGCTGAGCCGTTGAGGATGGCTCTCCTGATCACAGCACTGGTACTGCTGCTGCTGCTGCTTATCTTGATAGGAATGTTCTTCACTGCCAGGAGGAAGTAAGTAACAGATATATAAAAACGAAAATTCATGTGATCTGTCGATGAAATGTTTGCAAATGTGCTCATGTACAGAAATGTTTTTTATAAGCTTTGGATAATAGTAGTAGTAGGACTGCATGTAGTAAGACTGTTTTTTTTTTATTTGCCCATGGAAACAAAGGTGACCTTAGCTGGACTGAAATGTCTACTGTGTGGTCACAGATGAACAGTTCTGTTTGATAATGATATGCTTTTCATCTTTACTTTGAAATTTTTCTGCTTTTTTTACAGATACAAGAGGAAGCTCAAAGCTGCCACAGCATATGCTTACAGTAAGTTCAGTTTCATTTCCTCCTGAAAAAAGGAAATACAAAAAAGCAAAAGAAAATGCACAAAGCTGACGTGTCTTTTACATATTACAAATTACTATATTTCTATATTATAAGCATTTCACAACAATAATAAGTCTCTACATAGCAATCACACTAATATAATAAACTGTCACTTCTCTTCAGATACAAATGACAATGGTTTAAACCATGTGGATCTTGTACCTGGGACCAATTTACACACATTTGAAGGGTAAGTTTTTAGCTTATATTTCTACAATAGATTTTTTCACTTACTTTTTCTTTGCAAGG